AGAGAGAGAGAGAGAGAGAGAGAGCACATACTAATCGAACTTGAACAATTCCGTGATAAACATTCCCAGACTATACATATCGGCCGACACGTTATACTTCTTATAGTCTTCGTCGGCGCATATCTCAGGTGCCAAATACTGGGGCGAACCCACACCCCGGCTATTACTCTTGGACGCAATGTCCTGTATACGAGCCAATCCAAAATCACCAAGCTTCAAACAAATACTATCCGCGTCATAAGAAGCCATGAATATATTTTCTGGTCTTAAATCGCGATGAATTAGAGGTTTTGCCTGTTTGTGTAAATACATGAGACCCTGGACAATCTCTTTAAGCCATGTGATACTGATAAAAAATTCCAAGTCACCAGGCTCAGAATTAAGTATGCGGTCGAATAGTTTGTCCTTGCTCAAAATGAGCTGCCTTAGAGTGCACTCGCATAACTCCATTTGAATGAATATATGGTTTGTTTTAAACCACGAGCCATAGTATTTAATGATGTAATTGTTATCCAGGCCCTGCAGTAATTGCAGCGATTTTTTCTCGTCCTCTTCAATGTGTAAATCATTTTCTTTTGTTTCTATTATTATTTGCAATCAAATGATAAATGTTATGAAATTAATAACATATTTTATATAAGAAATTGTGCAATAATACATTGAGGTTTTAAATAAAAATATAATTCATCATAATCATAATTGACTAATTGCAAAATTATTACCTTTTATATCGATCACCTTTAAGGTGCAATCATATTGTTGATCACCAGATAAATATCGCACTTTATACACCTTGCCAAATGTACCACGACCAATTTCATTGACAACCTCACCTTGAATCTCTTTCAATACTTCTTCTAATTCATAATTATAATCGCTATCATTGGACGCCATGTTATAAATGCCAATTCAATAATTTATTTATTTATGAAAATCTAAATCTTATTATAAATGGCAGACATTTATCAATTATTTGAGCACAAAGAATTGTTTTGTATTAAAAAATTTTATTAATATGTATAAATGCTATTTCACATACAGACTAATAAATATAATAAGTTGTTTCCATAGGTTATTTGATAAATTTTTATTGCATAACAATATAAAATTTTATCGGTTGATAGCTAAGCAATTAAGAATTAAGAATGTAACATTACAAATAAAAGTATAGTTATTTTGTTAATAATTTTTGTTAATTAATTTAATATAAATTTTAAGGATCGCTTAATAATACAATAAATTGTGTAATTAATTATAATAATCTGCCTGTTCAAACATTCTCACACAGTTTTTCAATTTTATTGGAAACATATTTATATAAATATTTATTTTGATCATCTATAAAGCCCTCGTAATAATTGGTGTAATCGTCCAAAACTTTCTGATAGTCATTGCTTTCAGTTTCTGATATTTTGTCCAAAAGTTGTTGAACTGTAAGCCGTTTGCTAATTCTATCCTGAATTAAATCCAATAACATACCTTGCACATTTTCCATACGAGTTGATTGCTGCTCTTCAGTGCTAATCAAATAACAAATGTAAGTCATTTATAGCTTAATATTTGTGAGTAGGAGTGAGTGAGTGAGAGAGAGAGAGAGAGAGAGAGAGAGAGACTTACTAATCAAAGTTAAACAACTCTTTGATAAACATTCCGAGACTATACATATCACACATTATGTCATATTTCTTATAGTCCTCTTCGGCGCACACTTCCGGTGCCATATAGATAGGTGTTCCCACTTTCCGTGTATTAGTTTGCGAGGCAACAGCTTGTATTTTAGCCAGACCAAAATCACCAAGCTTCAACAGCACAGTATTAGGCTTAACAGTAGCCATGAATATATTTTCCGGTTTCAAATCTCGGTGCATAATCGGTGGCTCATGAGTGTGCAGATACTTGAGACCCTGAGCAATCTCTTTAAGCCATGTGATACTGATAAAAAATTCCAGGTCACCAGGCTCAGAATTAAGTATGCGGTCGAATAGTGTGTCCTTGCTCATAATGAGTTGCCTTAGAGTGCATTGGCATAACTCCATTTGAATGAATATATGGTTTGTCATAATCCATGAGTTCATATATCTAGTTATGTAACAGTTATCCAGGTCTTGCATTACTTTTAGTGATCGCCTCTCGGTTTCCTGAATACGAGACTTCCCTTTATTCGCACCTATAGTTCAAAATAATATTTAATAATAGTTACAGTTTTACTGGCATATAAATTATACAATTATTACTTTGGTATAAACCCACCATTTAATAAAACTTTCAAGTTTATTAGTTTAATTATAATTACAAAAATTTAAAATTACCTTTGATGTCAATAACTTTTAGGGCACATTCATCTTGATTATCATTTACCACGTATCGCACTTTATACACCACACCAAATGACCCACTACCAATTTCCTCAATAGCCTCACCATTCAATTGGTCTAATATTTGTTTCATTTCAACATTTGATTCCATAGTATTTGATGTGATGTTTGGGTATTTCATACAATTAGCAGAGATTTCTTAATATAAAATAATATTTCAAACTCCTATTAATGAAATACAGTATCAATGTCAATTTGATCACAAATAGCATGCAAATAGGGAGTGGGATGTCGTGATACTTATAAACAGTATAAGTTACTAATGAGCTATTTTTCATTAATTATAAATTACATTGAAATTGTATGACAATTATGTTGTCATAGAGTTTCAGATAATATTTGTTTGAAATACGTCTAGAAAATAAATGTACAATTTAATTATGAAGTTTTAATACAATAGATAGTAATTCTGAAATTTTAGTTTTAATAATTAAATTGTAATTAAATAACTCAATACTATTATTTAATGAGTATTTAAAAATAAAAACAGACTGCTACTTTTAAATAATGTGTTCTCATAAATCTTATTATGCTTTAATTTAATTGGTAAAATATCATTGTAAACTAAAGTATTTCACGCAACAATTTTATTCTAGATTGTTTCCATAGAGTATGCGATAAAATATAAACATTTTATCATTTCTAAATTATTTAACTTATTTAATAATCAATATAAAAGACATGTCCCACCTTATCATTGTGAAACCGATTCATGATATCGATGGTGCATTCCATATCCCCCACTGACCCCCACCAAACCCTCAAATATTTTGAAAATTGATGCGTACAATTTTGCACAATGCTACTTTAAAAATGCAAAAATTACAAAAATTAACATTACGTCTATTTAAACGGATAAATGAATTGAACCCCCGCGCATACCTCCTAAAATTGTGTAAATTTGTACATATAATCATATTCACTGGCGCTATCAGTGGTATGAATGAATTTGGTGTTCTGCAACTAGAAACATATTTTTAAACGATTTAAGTTTAAAATTACAAATACAATTTTCATATTAAAAAGCATTCTACCATTATCGTATGGACGGGATTTTAATTTTATATTATTGATTGAGAAATATATGTAATTTATATTAACCAGTGATCTTCGGTCGCATATACTGTGTATATACATAAAGTTTTAATGTAAATAGTAATAAAAAATAATTTTTTATTTTTTAATTATACACGGAATTTATTGAATATTACAGTTAATTATATACAAATCATTATATTTACAATTAATCATTCTCGTTATCACTTTCTTCAATAGCTTGTGTATTAAACATACTTATAATTTTATCAATTTTTTCTACATTTGTTGAAATGTCTTTATGTCGAGCGAAACCCAAATACCATGATACTTGTGATATGGGAACACATTCCTACAGTACGTGCTCCTGATTTGCACCTGCAGTAATACCTCTTAATTGATTCATGTCCTTCCCCATTAATTTCATATTCAATGTAGACATAATACTTCTTATTACTGATATGTTTTGAAGGAATTTTAACCTGAATTAGGCCAGGCATTGCGGGATCTTTACACAAACTTAACTCAAACTCATGATCAGTTGATTTGTACAGATGTTCCCTTATATATGACTTTCCTCTCATTATTTGATACGATCCCAATGTAAGAGCTTTTATGTCTTCAAATTCAAGTCGAGGAAAGTCGTCCAACGAATCAGCTAATAGCTTATTCCATACCAATCTTTTGCGATTTAATTTATCAGCGATTTCTATTAGTGTATTGCCAATGTTTTTCCTGATTTTCATACGATTCACAACGAACATCAAATCATTTTTATCTGATTCTAATGGTTTTAAGTATTCATTTAGCAGTGCTCCAGCTATTCTCCAATCACTCATTAGGGTAACAAGTGATTTATTATCACGAATTTCAGATAAAAAATTGAAATCTTTCAGTTGACCATTGATTGCCTAAACTTTCCAACCAACCTTTGTTACAAATCTTGTGGAATTTGCTTCAAATGTAGTCATTTGTTTATTTCCTGTATGACAGGTTGGCATATTTAGGATATAACTTTCGGCCCAATGTTTGGAATCACGAAATCCGCGATCAACAACGAATATATCTGTTCCTCTGAATATGCGTTCAAAGTGTAATCTGTATTTATTAAATATCATCAGAAATCACAGCATCATTTTTGGAAGCACTGAATAGACCAAATATGTCTACTATATAGCCATCAGTTGCTATTAGAAACATTGGTTTAATTAAATGTCGCCCTTTTTGAACGCTGTACAGCATTTGTTGAAGCATATTGTCACCACTTCTCTGAATGTATGCATACGTACCATCACATATTACACCAATTTGATCGTCGAAATCACAGTGAAGTTCTCTGAACATAAGAGACGTGTTCAGAGATTGTTCTGCGTTCAATATTCTTAATTCCAAATGATATGTCTACAAGATTATCGGTTAATAACTTTTTAATTAATGATACTGAGCGCCATATTGCATTCTTAGACATATTCAGTAGTATTCCTAGCCTTCGATAACTTATTTCTGTTTTGAGTTTCATTAGATATACTATTAAAGTTTCGATCGGTTTATTTTGACTATTAGTGTTATAATTGTCTTTAATATATTTATCGTTTATTTTGTCTATTTGGGTTCTGTTAAAACCCGTGAATGTTTTATAATCATAGTCTGTTTGAAATATCTTAAGACATGTATCGGTTTCAAAGGAATTCATTTGAGCCATCATTTCTAAGAAATTGTCTGCATAACTTCCTTCTAGTGTTATATAGTTTTCAGATGATATCAAGTCATATGAAGTTAATTCATTGTTATTAATTATATGAACACAACAACAGCGATAATCCAGAGGTACGTATATGCGCCAATATTTCCAAATATTCATCTGAAGCGATTTATTTAAAAGAGTCGTGCAGACATCTCTGCAAACAATACACTTATTTCGTAAACCTCTGATACATTTTACACTTACTTGTGTTTCATTATAATTGCCATTAGAAGTATCGTCAGAATTTTGTTCAAAACTATCCACTGATATATCTGTCGAATTCTTTAGTCGTTTGTGTATACTATTAAAACACGCATTGCATATTATATCAATTGACAATTCTGGTGATTGTTTTCGATTTAATATGTCAATTCTAATATCATCTCGTACTTTACGATTGACACGTTTTGTTTGGTTCAAATTATCACCAAAATTGCAACATATAACTCGTTTTGTCTTTCTCTCATTATACTCACTCAATCGAGGATCGCAATCAGCGTTAGATTGCATATTACTTTTAACTGAAAGAGAATGTGTCTCAATTTGGATGCGAACTCACTACTCATGGACCGGATATCATTAAGATATAATCCAAAGTATTACGCGAGAGCGCTATTGAGACGATGATATTATATTTCTTAAATCCTCTATTTATATATATTATTATTGTATTTAGTTAAAAATATTTTACAATTTAATTCTTCAGCAAAACTCGAACTCACTATCTTTATATTACTTCTCTTAAATATTACGATATAACCACACAGGTTCTATGTAATGAAAGTTCTTAATATATTATTACAACAATTATTTTGTTAGAAAGTAAGGGCATCAGACTTGTATGAAAACATGGTTTAGAATATGTGATCGAAATCGGCGCCAAAGACACTGACCCTATTTCATACAAGAAATTAACAACATTGCAAATTATTATAGTGTATATACCGTAAAAAAATTTTTTTATTTTCACTTTTTTACATTATATACACAATGTAGTAATTTACAACGTCTTTAATTTCTTCTCTACAATAGGGGCAGTGTCTTTGGCGCCGAAATTTTCATATAAATACAGTAATTAAAATAAATTTACTAAATTAAATACGCTAAATAAAATTTTACAATTAATATTTGATAATTTAATAAATGTATTTTGTAAATATATAACACTTTTACTAAATAATTAAATAAGTATAGTGGGTTTCGTTTGTGCATGAGATAAAAAATATTGCAATTTATTTACCGGATGATGATAATAGTAATAATACACATTTTTAATTAATTAATTATTTATTCTATCTAACCATAATTAAAATGATAAATAATTATTTTATAAAAATAAAATTAACAATTTTTTATACAAATATAAGTTAAACATGAATTCCCTTTTATTATTTAAATAATTAACTTACTTTAGTTTATTAATTCTGATGGATACAAATTGATTTAGAAATTTATGGGAATTCATGTTTAACTTATATTTGTATAAAAAATTGTTAATTTTATTTTTATAAAATAATTATTTATCATTTTAATTGATGGATACAAATTGATTTAGAAATTTATGGGAATTGTTTAAACCATTTTCATAATCCTTGTATTCATCCAAAACTTTCTTATCATCTATTTTGTCAATTTTGCTCAACATTTCCAAAAGTTTCACACTATTTGGTCTACTATTAGGTTTGTGATTAATGAGCTGGTTCAATATATCGCGCAGACCTGTGATTCTTTGCGAGTCACTTCATTTGGTATCGCCAAACTTATCAAGATTAAAAGTTTTCAATTACTTAGTTAATTAATTTTTCAATGACTTGTTTAAAATACATTTATTTATGAATACTGTTTGAAATTGGTTTAATACAGACTTTTTATACTCATTGGTTGAGTTACAATATTTAAATATAATTTTTTTATCACAAAATACTGCATTAATTAGCAATTATTAAGTTTAAATACATTCATGGGTTTCGTACTTAATTCGTAGGAAATACTGAATAAATTCATTGTTGGGGTCAAAGGGTTTGTCCGCAGTTTTGACGCTTTCGTAAATAAAATCCTTGATTTGACTGTAAGGTAGAGTCCACTCAGCTCTCGATTTAAGCATCTCTTGACACGAGGGCCGGGATGTGTACAGGCCGTTGAGACACTTGTTGGTGATCTCGGTCAGTTTGCCATAGTTAACCTGGTAACCATTGTTTGCTTTCCTATTGAAAAACATTAACAAATTTATAACTAATTTCTAACTAATCACTAAACACTCACTCAATGGTATTGATGTCGAAGTTAAACAACTCCTGTATAACAACACCCATACTATAGATATCTGCCTTCAGGTTATATCTGCGGCTATTCTTGACTTCCGGTGCCATATACCGGTCAGCTCCGGAACATTTCGTATGGGACTGTTCGTTGTACTTATGCTCAACCGCCAATCCAAATCCGGCCAACCGGATGAACCTCTGGTCGGGCTCATACTTAATCAGTATATGACTGGGCTTGACATCCCGGTGTATGATATTAAGTGAGTGGAGGTTATGGAGCGCCTGTAGTATCTCGACGAGCAGTTCAGCGGCGATATAGTAGCCAACGGGCGGCAGGAGTTGCCGTTTGCCTGCCGTCTCGAAATGGTCGCGGATTTTGTGCAAAACCTCTTTGAGTGAAAACAAACATAAATCCATTTGTATGTGAAGTATAGCGAAGTGCTTGAAGTTGAGGACCTCGTCGTATAAGTTCTTCACGTAGTCCGCGCTTTTGGACAGGTAGTTCACGAACCGTTTCCGGGACTCCTCTTCGCTTTCCAGCCACGAGCTCCGGTATTGCACGCATGTATGGCCGCCCACTTTCTCCAATATCCGGATCTCTTTCAACCGTTTGTTAAACTCTTTGTGCAGACATTCCTTGGTGTCCTCATCGCCTGTATGTCATAATTGTTCATACAATGTAGTAATTTAATTATTTTTTAGAAAAGTAATTTAAGAAAAATACAATTAATTACAGGTACAGAATATCTAGGTTATGTATAGCTAGAAAACACTGTGTCAAAGTCGGCCAACCGGATGAACCTCTGGTCGGGCTCATACTTAATCAGTATATTACTGGGCTTGACATCCCGGTGTATGATATTAAGTGAGTGGAGGTTATGGAGCGCCTGTAGTATCTCGACGAGCAGTTCAGCGGCGATATAGTAGCCTTCGGGCGGCAGGAGTTGCCGTTTGCCTGCGGTCTCGAAATGGTCGCGGATTTTGTGCAAAACCTCTTTGAGTGAAAACAAACAGGAATCCATTTGTATGTGAAGTATAGCGAAGTGCTTGAAGTTGAGGACCTCGTCGTATAAGCTCTTCACGTAGTCCCCGCTTTTGGACGCGTAGTTCACGAACCGTTTCCGGGACTCATCTTCGCTTTCCAGCCAAGAGCTCCGGTATTGCACGCATGTATTCCCGCCCACTTTAGCCCATATCCGGATCTCATTCAACCGGCGTTTAAACTCCTCGTGCAGACATTCCTTGGTGTCCTCAGCGCCTGTATGTCATAATTGTTCATACAATGTAGTAATTTAATTATTTTTTAGAAAAGTAATTTAAGAAAAATACAATTAATTACAGGTACAGAATATCTAGGTTATGTATAGCTAGAAAACACTGTGTGATAGCCCTCCATATTGACATTGAAAATAGCAAATTCTGTAAGAATTGTATACTTTCTGTATAAATGATGTGAATTTAATGTAATTATTTTCACATAATAATTACTTTTCATTAATGGTATTGTTTTTCATGAATATTTAAACACATTTGATGGCAAACAGATACATACCGACGAAATAAATGAGTTTAATGGCGTACGGCTTTTCATCGATCTTATTAGTGCCTTTAATGACGACACCAAAACTACCGGCGCCCAAACAGGTCTCTTCCAATTTGAATTCATTAGTCAAACGCTTGTTGTTAGTGAACGGCTGGATATCTAATATCTCTTCGACTACATGGGACTCTTGGGATACCTGTGCAGTCGGTGCGCCCTTTTCCCTGTCCCTGTCAGTCATGTGGTTATGATTTTAGTCGATATAAATTAGCGTATATTTTGAGAAATCAAATACAAATTGTGTTAACTATACAATTTGTATGCTAGTTGTGATGTAAAGGTTTACATAATAGCTATTGTTATTATGAAAGACATATAATTGTGATAAGGATGTCTTAATTAAAAGGTTATAAAAGGTATAAGTTACATTAATGTAATTATTTTCACATAATAATTACTTTTCATTAATGGTATTGTTTTTCATGAATATTTAAACACATTTGATGGCAAACAGATACATACCGACGAAATAAATGAGTTTAATGGCGTACGGCTTGGCATCGATCTTATAAGTGCCTTTAATGACGACACCATAACTACCGGCGCCCAAACAGGTCTCTTCCAATTTGAATTCATTAGTCAGACGCTTGTTGTTAGTGAACGGCTGGATATCTAATATCTCTTCGACTACATGGGACTCTTGGGATACCTGTGCAGTCGGTGCGCCCTTTTCCCTGTCCCTGTCAGTCATGTGGTTATGATTTTAGTCGATATAAATTAGCGTATATTTTGAGAAATCAAACACAAATCGTGTTAACTATACAATTTGTATGCTACTTATGATGTAATGGTTTCCATAATAGCTATTGTTATTATGAAAGACATTGTGATAAGGATGTCTTAATTAAAAGGTTATAAAAGGTATAAGTTACAAAGCTAATATCCGACATGAATATTGTAAGCAAGCTATAATTTATGATTATTAATTTGCTGTTATGTATAAATAAATGAGCATGTCAAGGCACCACTTTTATTTAAAAATGTAATATGCTATTTTAGTTAATTTTGTCATTCATTGATTGCTTATGTAATGGTCTTATGATTCAATTTTTGGCAATATTATTTTAAAATAAGTATTTTTACAATAAATTATTGGGACTAGTATGACATTAAGTGTCAACATGTAATGTTAACATATTAGTATATGTCACTATTATAGTCACTATTTTTGGCTATCATTATATAATTAATGATCACAATACACTATATAAGGGGAACCTAAACTACATTTTAAAAATAATAATAGTTGTATGAGTGGTGCAGTACAGTACACATCATTAGTTGTATTTTACTGTATTTATAAAATAAAAAGTTTAAAATAATTTAACTTGTATTTATATAATCAAGCAAGATTAATATAAATAATTAAGCAAGCTCAATCATATACGATAACTGTGAGCCGGGTGTCGGGTCGACCCCACCTGGAGCTTACAATATATTGCTATAAGTGACTCAATTTTATCAATTTATTTATAAACTTATAGATAAGTGCATTGAAATGCAAAGATTATTTCTTATATAACTTGTATTGAAATTAAATAAAAAAAGGTTGATTAATGTTATGAATAAATTGAGCATGACTCAATTACAGTATTACTAGAATCAAATACACCTATGATATTTTCCAACTA